CCAATCCAGTTCATGACATTGCACCAGTCCTTTTCATGTAGCTTACGACTTTTTTAACCGTTTCGAGCCGGGTAGCGAAAACGCGCGCTTATCACAGAGGGCAGCAGTGTCTTACGCGAGCGTCTTTCCAGGGCCGGGGGCTTTTTTGCTACTAAGCCTAAATCCATGAAATTTCCGAAGTATAAACGCATTGTTTAATAATGCTCTATAGAGTCTTTAAACGGCTTATGCTGTATAGATATTTATATATATATACTTTAATTACCTTATTTCTTGTTTAAATGCATATTTTACACATTTTATTTTAATTACTCCCTATTTTATGACTTTTAACATTATACATCTGAAAACTAAATATATTACTTAAAATTCTCTTTTTGTATGAAAAATTTGAAAACAGAGATCTACACACAGTCCTACGTTACATTCCTTGCACTCGTAATAACTCATTTGCCGTTTTGGAGGATTTTTCCGGGAATGTGAACAAACGAAGCATCGTCATCTCATTTTCTTATCAGTCTCTTCTGAACAAAGTTTTGGAAAACATCTTTCAGTTAATCTTTCAGAATCAATATCTGAAATATTTTGCATCATTTCTGCTATTTCATGCTCTGTTAAACTTTTTTGACGCTTCGACATTGCAACGGTAAAAACAGAAAGAATTCACGCCTAACAAGATCTAATTATTTTCTAAAAACTGAACTGTAAACCGAAATACTCACCGCTTTAGCGCATATAAATCTTCTACTTACAATAAACAACTACCACGTGCGAATAAAGTGCGATTTAAAGAGACGTCATAAGTCACGCCATTCGGAAACATTTAGTTTCCGAATATTTGTTTATATAATCAAAAGCATGTGTATGCGAGTCATGCTTCTCTCATTTCGAGTAGAAGGTCTAATGTACATGTATCTGAAACCATATGGACATACAGTGCCATCTTGTGGCAGAAATTATAGTTTCTAAAACGTTCGAGGATACTGGCACAAATACATGACAGTCGGTAGTAAACAGGAAAATGCTCTGGCACGCCTGCGTGTCGGCCGGGAGGTGAGTGTGTTCGTTGCCGGCACGTAGACGTGACAGTCGGCGCGAAGGGGTTAATAGTGTTGCATGTATACAGGTTCACAGCAGATTGAATGCACACAAAAATTTATTTTATCAAAAGAAACAATTCAGAGTTCTGAAACTTTCCAAAGAAATAATTGTACAATATCAGAGCGTACAATCAGTAGTTACACTTGAAACTACTAAGAAAGTTAAGCAAAGTGCAGCACATCTAAAAGGCAAAGCTTTCAATACTCCAAAGTTGCTCAGAACTAACAACCAGGGCTGCGAAGTCAGTAGGGAAAATGACTGTCTCCAACCCTTACAATTTTAAAGACTTCGACTCCCTCATATATATGTGGGAATCGTGCCTCAACGAAGCACCAGATGTCGCTCTCTACCTCTACTCTGTACGAACTCTCCAGGTTCCAGGATCTTCAGTTGGTTCGAGAAGTCCGAGAGAAGCGGTCTAAAAGAACGCTCGCAAAGGAGCTACAACTATCCGCTTACTGGTCGCGCGTAGGCGATCGGACTTTTAACTTACCCTAAAGTGACCGCACGTAGGTGGTCAGCTAAGACTAACATCTCCATAGTGAAATCAGTGTGATTACTCTCCTAAACATATTTAATCCATTTGTACATACTCATTCCGTTTATCTTTTCTTCTATAAAAAAAGGAATAAAACCTGATGCTTTGTATCATTAGTGTGATCTCTGTTTGATGATAAGACGTCACCCTCACAACTATGGGGGCTCCAAGCCGTCGAACTTAAAAAAAGGTACTGTGGAAACTTTTCTTTCTTTAAGATAGTGATACTTGTGTTTCGTTTTAAAATGAGTTTCATAAATAATTCAAATAGGAGTGATTTAAAATTAATTGCCGAAAGAATTGGAGAAAATGTTCCAGAAAATGCTAAAAAAGCTGACATTAGAAAAATTATAGAAAATTCTGATGTCTTCAAAACAAACATTGAGTTTGTTCGTGGCGTCGTCAAATCGATCGTCATGGATCGGACGCCTAAGACAAGCAATGAACACTATCTGTTAGAAATCGAACGTCTTAAATTAGCCCAAATTGAGAAGCAAATTGAGCTAGAAAATTTAAAATCACAATCATTATCGGGTGATAGAAGAAACGCACAGACTAGTGTTGAAAATTTACTGAAAAGTGTTTAAACGCTTACAATCTCTGTTCCTGAGCGAACAGAGGCATTGCATTTGTTTTTTATTTCATTGGAAAAAGCTTTTGCCACCAAAGATGTTCCCCAAAACTTAAAAGCTGAGATACTAATTAATTTGCTAGGGGTTAAAGCGAATAATGTTTTAATGTATGCAACTGAAGAAGAATTTTCGAATTACGAAAAACTAAAAGAATTGTTTTTAGCTGACTTCAGCCGACACCAAGAGAGATTCTGAACACCTTTAAACATGCTCAACGAGCAGCAAACGAGTGGCATGTTCAATTTGCATCGCGATTGACTGCAGCATTTGAATACTACTGTCAGGTTAGGGAGACACAAAAGGATTTTAAAAAGTTATTTGATTTAATTGTTGCAGATAAATTGTATGAAACTTTGGATTTCAAAACGAAAGAATACATAGGTGTTCGCGAGGGGAGAACATGGTTTAATCCAACACAGTTAAGGCGAGAATGTGATTTATATTTTTCATCCCGGGGAAAATCATTGTCTGAAATACATAACCCTAAAGTTCAGTCTAATGAATCGAAAGTACCAAGTGTTCAAAACCAAAGTATTAAGAATGACTCATTCTGTCGTAGCAAACCTAAAAGCAAACCGGATGTCATTTCGTCGACGCCAGAGAGATCATGTTACGTCTGCGGGGGGAAAGGGGTGAAAATTTTCATTTCGCTAGGGATTGCGTAAAAACGTAAACAAAGCGAATCGCATAAGGAAACAGAAAGAAAAACAAAAAAAAGTGTTAATAACGTCAGTTTTATTCACGAGTTGCAATATGCTGATATTTTCGAAGAAAATAAAAAATAAAAGCACTTATCGATTCAGGCGCTCAAGTTCCGGTCATAAATTCATCATTCATTCAATCAAATAAAGACACCGCTGGACGGTAAAATAATACTTAGCTCATGTTTTGACGAAAAAAAAAGAGGCAGATATCGCTAGAGTAGGATTATCTTTAAATAGCAATTCACCAAGGTTAGAAATCATTGTTGCAGCCGTAAATAAATTATCTGTTCCTTTAATTTTAACACCAAACATTTATTCTCAACTTCTAAAAGTAAGTCGGGAAGACAAAAATGAAACATCTAATCCTGATACCGAAAATGATTTTAAAAGTGAATCATCATTACAAGAGTGTTTTTTATTAAATTTTGCAAATGTGATTGACGAACGTGATGTGGATTTCTTGCATGTTACTGATGTGAACATTCGTAAGGATTTATTGTTATTGATTCATAATTATAAACCAAATAAAACTAAAGACACGAATTTAAAAATGAATATTCTGTTAAAAGATGATATTCCAGTATTGCAACGGTCTCGGAGATTACCGTTTGCTGAGCAAAAAATTGTTGATAAACAGATAGATGAGTTGTTGCAAACGGGAATTAAAACCATCTTGTTCCGAATACGCATCTCCAATTCTGTTATGTAAGAAACGTGATAAAACACATAGATTATGTTCAGATTCAGACAGTTAAATAAAAAAGTAGTGAAAGATTCTTTTCCTATGGCCCAGGTAGAGGAAGTACTTGATCATTTGGGGAAAGCGAAAGTTTTTTCAACTTTGGATTTGAAAAATGGTTTTTTCCACGTTCCAGTCGGTGAAAGATGTACCAAATATTTAGCATTCATTTGTCATGCAGGTTTATTTGAATTTTTAAGAGCACCGTTTGGTTTGACCACAAGTCCTAGTGTATTTTTAAGATTTATCTATAATGTATTCAGGGAATTAATAAGGGATAATACAGTTGTAATTTACATGGATGATTTTATCATACCTTCCCGTGATGAAAAAGAGGGATTAGAAAAACTTAAACGAGTTTTAAAAGTAGCTTCAGAATATGGACTAGAAATTAATTTTAAAAAATGTCAATTCCTTAAAAGAAAAACTGAATTTCTCGGTTATTTAATTGAAGAAGGTACAATTCGTCCATCTCCAAATAAAACCCTTGCAGTTAAAAATTTTCCTCAACCTAAGAACGTTAAGCAATTGCAAAGCTTCCTAGGTCTCGCAGGCTATTTAAGAAAATTTGTACCTGGTTATTCGAAAATAGCCAAACCATTGAGTGATATGCTTCGCAATGGTGTAGAATTTGAATTTGGGCCAAGACAGAAGCAGGCATTTGACCACCTTAAAGAACTTTTGAGCAAAAGTCCTGTACTTAACATCTTTCAGCAGGGAAAAAACCTTTGGAATTACACACGGATGCTAGTAGTCATGGTTTCGGTGCAGTGCAGTTTTGCTTCAACGCTCAGATGATGGACAGCTGCATCCAATCCATTACATGAGCAAGAAAACATCACCTCAACAAGAAAAAATGTCAAGTTATGAACTCGAAGTGCTAGTGATCGTCGAAGCCTTGAAAAAATTTCGAAGTTATCTCTTAGGCACAAAAATCAAAATAGTCACAGATTGCGATGCATTTCAGAAGACAATGCAGAAAAAAGATCTGACACCAAAGATAGCTAGATGGGCACTGCTACTCGAAGAGTTCGAATGTGAAGTTATCCACAGACCCAATCAACAGATGAGACATGTCGACGCATTAAGTAGGCATGCTGTGTGCATGGTCACTCGTTCGCAAAAAGAAATCACTACTAAGATCGCAACAGCGCAACAGGCTGATGAGCATCTTCAATTATTGAAAACTCTGGTCGAGAAAAGGACTTAGAGATGACTATCTGCTAAAAGATAATGTGTTGTATCTGCAGGAGAGAGGTCGAGAACTCATCGTTGTGCCGGAAGCGATGGAATTCGAGATCATCCGTGGCATACATAACAAAGGACACTTTGCTGTACAAAAGACAGAAGATCTGTTGAAAAGAGATTTTCATATTTCGAATGCTACAAAGAAAATAGAGCACGTTATAATGAACTGTGTCGAGTGCATCCTCTGTAATAAAAAGCGAGGCAAAGCAGAAGGTCTATTGAACCCAATCCCAAAGGACAATATTCCGTTAAGCACATATCACATAGATTTTGTAGGACCCCTGACATCTACAGATAAGAGATACCGACATATATTTACAGTGGTAGATGCTTTTACAAAATTTGTCTGGTTTTACCCAGTCAAGACAACATCAACGGCAGAAGCTGTACAGAAACTAAAAATCCAACAAGCTGTCTTCGGAAATCCTTCAAGAATTATCTCTGACAAGGGATCTGCTTTTACTTCAAAGGACTTTGAGGAATACTGTAAAGATGAAGGAATTCAGCACATACAAATCACAACAGGCGTTCCATTAGCCAACAGCCAGATCGAAAAAATTCATGGAACCCTTATCCCAGTGCTTGCAAAACTGTAAGTAGATGATCCTGTCAAATGGTTCAAATTTGTGCCTGACGTCCAAAGAGTCATAAACAGCACCGTCAGTAGATCAACGAAATTCACTCCTTTCGAGCTGATGACAGGTGTGAAAATGAGAAATAAGGCAGACCAAAGAATTAAAGAAATTCTCGATGAAAAATTCCTGAACTCCACCATCCAGGAGAAAGCCTCTATTCGTGAAGAGGCTAAAGCGAATATCTTAAAGCTGCAGGAGGAGATCCAACGACAATACAATCAAAGTCGTAGAACCGTTCCACTCTACAAAGTAAAGGACCTAGTAGCCATTAAAAGAACCCAGTTAGGAAGCGGTCTCAAGCTAAGACCTAAATTCTCAGGACCTTATAAAGTGATCAAGATTAAGCCACATGATCGATATGATGTAGCCAAAGTAGGATCTCATGAAGGACCTGAAGCAACTTCCACTTCGGCAGACCACATGAAGCTTTGGTCTGATGACATCGCAACTTGAGATCATTTTGCAAACTATTTTTCAAATGTTTCTTTTTTTTTTTTTTTTTTTTTTTTTGTTTTGTGTTTTTTGTGTTTTACAGATGTATTCCAGTGTTCGGAGGTCCTCACCTGTCGATGGCCGAGCGTGTGGGAATCGTGCCTCAACGAAGCACCAGATGTCGCTCTCTACCTCTACTCTGTACGAACTCTCCAGGTTCCAGGATCTTCAGTTGGTTCGAGAAGTCCGAGAGAAGCGGTCTAACAGAACGCTCGCGAAGGAGCTACAACTATCCGCTTACTGGTCGCGCGTAGGCGATCGGACTTGGAACTTATCTAAAGTGACCGCACGTAGGTGGTCAGCTAAGACTTTAACATCTCCATAGTGGAACCAGTGTGATTACTCTCCTAAACATATTTAATCCATTTGTACATACTCGTTCCGTTTATCTTTTCTTCTATAAAAAAGGAATAAAACCTGATGCTTTGTATCGTGAGTGTGATCTCTGTTTGATGATAAGACGTCACCCTCACATATATGTAAACATATACATATGGATTCCAGCTTAATTTTTCTTTTTAATATTGTTATGAAATGTCAAGGCACGGTGAGATGGCTTCCCCGCAAAGCAGTTTTAGGGTTGCCATATTTGGCGAGAAATCGTCCATTTGGAGACATAATTGGCGATATACCATGGACGGATTGAGAACGTTCTGGAATGAATTCTTACTGGTTTAGCCCAGAATGTTCTCGAACACAAGCCAAAAGCTATATAAACCCTGCTGGTCCGCAGTTAGTCAGTGTGTGTCTCTCATTGAAAGTGTGTCTTGTCTAGCTAGTCAATCCCTGCGGAGTCGATCGAGTTGACAGCCGGGCAACGAGGGCCGAGTGGGTCGTCGAGTGCACCGAAGGAGTCTTTTAGTGTATTGCGGTTAGTGCATCGTCGAGAGAGCGTGTTGAGCTCCGGGAATGACTAAACCAAAGAGTTGGGTGCTGTGCTCGTGTGTCATCGAGTGCATTGCATAGCGTGGAGAGTCTCGAGAGTACGTGGAGTTCCGAGAATGACCAAGCAGAGTCAGGAACTGTACTCTGGTGCTTTGCAGGAAGCTGTCTCCACTGTTATTGTATGACAGTGTGAAGGCTGTGTCGCTGAACGTGTCAGCTTTTTTATAACAGTTCGGCGACTGCAAAAGTGACTTTGGAGCTGTCCTGATTAATATTGGCTAAATAAAGTGTGTTTCGATACTTCATCCAGTGCCGTCGTTATTCACTCCAAATCTACGAACCCCGTACGAACATAAAGGAAGAAAATAACGTAACAACTGGTGTCAGAAGAATAAAGAAAAACGCAACAATATGAAAGAAGTAACAGATGCTACAGAAAAAAAAACTGATGCATAGCAAATTTTTTATATTAATTACCATTTATTATGAAATGGAAAAACTGGCATTAGTAATTAAGAAACAGTATAACTGTGGCAAGATCTTTGTTAGAGGACCATAGATCTGATTTGATAAACTTCAGAACTGAGAAGAGTCTTTCCACACAGACTTGAGTAGGAGGCAAGGAAGAGCTGTTACTGTTAGGACTACTTTCTAACTTTTCAGGATAAATAAGTTGCAAAAGAGGTGTCTTGTAATCGCAATAATATTTCTCTATTTCTTCATAGGCCGTGTATAAATCTTGTTTGTATTTTTTTTTTTTTTTTTTATATCTGAAGGCTCTTGATTCTTTATTTTAATTTGCTTTAACTTAGCCTTTTTAATATAATCCAAATGTTTCTCGAAATCTAATTCATCAGGAGAAGAGGATGATAGAGACTCAGTTGCAATGTCTACAGTTTGACTTTCCTGATTTGAATACTCCAGTTGTTCTGAGAATAATTTCATTCTTAATGAAAGAGTTCACAAATGGCTTTCTTTGCCTTTCTTAATTTGTTCATCATCCAACAAAATTCGGCGTTTTGAATCTACATACATTGAACCCAGGAAGATCTTATTGTCTAGCAAACTAGTTTCTTTTTTCTTCATTGAAAGAATGATTCCTTCTGCAATAAACTCTCCATTTCAGAAAGAACAAACATCACATTCCTCCATTCTCGCCTTCTGTTAATTCTTCAAAAGATCATTCCACAGTCTTTCTGTTAGTGAAACATTAGGGTTATCTACATCTTCTGAAAAAGTTCTTAATTCTAACAACCACCATATCATCAAATATGTACTTCTCCATCGCACTGCTCGATCAATAATAGCTCCTTTTCCTGCTCGATTCCTAAGAATGGCATCAATTGTGAGAGCTCTTGCTGCTTACCTAAATTTACCAATGAGGTTTGTAACTAAATTAATCAGTTTAATCAATAAAGGCAAATATCACGTCCATCCTGCTCCCTTATTGATTTATTTATTAATATGTCAATAAAATAGAAAATAACTATTTATTAATGTATATTGTTCATAAATAAAAATATTAACTTAGTTTGTCAATTTTTTTTTTTTTTTTTTTTTTTTTCAATTCACTTTAATTTCATTTCAAATTCAAACTGTCCAACAAAACTGGAGTCGGAGTCAATGTGTTTTTAGCGACTCTGACTCCTTTTACCCAAAAATCTATCCAACTCCGATTCGGACTCAATGACTCAGATCCCATAACCCTCCTAACAACTCACAGAAACAACATCAACTAAGGATAGATGTTCCCCCGGCTGCAGACATATTTCTAGTAATTTCTGCTTCTTGAAATTACTAGAAGCCATATGAAAGACCAAAACAGTTACACAAGAAATAAATTACATTTATTCGATTACAATACATATTACTGTGATACAGGGACCAGATCAAAATGCTGCCAAATGATCCTGAAGTTTGGCGACTTCTTGCCAAATTTGATGACAAAAATTAATTGCCAAAAACCACTGCCAGCTTGGCGATTCCTGTATTATTTTTCCAACAGACCATCCTCCTCCTAGATTTTTATGTTACATTATACAAAAAAAAAAAAAAAAAAAAAAAAAAAGACAGAGAGAGAGAGATGTCAATTTCACTAAAATTATCTGTATATGTACAAAATTTGTAACCTTGCCCCCTTCCCAAGGTCTTCACGTCCCAGGCAGTATGGTCCCCGGACAGGAAGACGCATAACTAAGGAAAATCAATGCAGTATATACACAACTGAAAAACAATTCAAATGCTAAACCCACAAATAAATGCATAAATTTACTATTTACATTATAATTTAATTCATATACTATTTACATTATACAGTAAAATCCGGACTCGTCGGGACTTCGGCGATTCTGGATTATAGATTATCAGTTTAAAGTGGTAAGATGGCACGCAGAAATTATAAAATTAAAAATATGAAACCGTAATTTATGAAATAAAGAGCAGTTATGATCTAAAGGGTATCAAAATTTACAAAAAAAAAAAAAAAAAACTTAATATTTATTTGTTTACTTTATTAAACATTTCTTTAACGAGTGCATGAGTAAAGCATACATTATGCATAGTCGAAATCAGAAAATACAGTCAAAAGTCGTTAATCCGGACTCATCTGGACTTTGGCGATTCCGGATTATAAATCATCAGTTTAAATCTGGTAAGATCCTTGATTTCTTCGGATTGTTGTTTAATTGTAGACTCTGAAAACTGCTCGTCTGACGATGTTAAGAAAGTTATTAAACTAAAAATTAATCCATTAGAAGCTAAGTTAGATGTATATACTTTAAAAAATATTAGAAAAGATAAATTCTTGGTTAAGTGTTTGACAGAAAATGATCGGAATCGACTTCAAGCCGAGATTAATGAAAAGTCTCTGGAATTGGACACGTCCTTGCCAAAAAAGAGGAATCCTGTTTTACTTGTAAAAAATGTGCCAAATGAAATACCTAATGAAGATCTTCTAAAAGTGATTTTTGAACAAAATCTCGAAGTTGTTGAATCTGATGAAAACAGAAGTATATGTAGTGTTTGCTTTACTTGAAAAACCTTCCAGTTCACGAGGCACGTTGTGATTGAAACGCACCCCCATGGTTCGTAAACGTATTCTGAATCAAGCCAGGTTGAAAATTAATTGGAGTATATGTGAAATTGACGATTTTATTATCATCAATAGATGTTTTAAGTGTCTTGGGTACAACCATCGTGCTGATGAATGTCGTGAGCGAACAGCCTGTTTTAACTGTTCTGGAGAACACAAGGCAAAGGATTGTTCGAATAGGAATGCTGTAGCTTGTATAAATTGCATCCGCTTCAATCATAAAACAAATAACAGCTATAAAAAAGTGAATGTTAATCACAAACCCTTTTCAGAATGCTGTCCTAGTCATGAATTTATGAGAAAGAACATTCAATCTCGAATTGATTATGGCTAGATTGGCTAGACGCGTTCTAAAGTGTGTGCAGTTAAATCTTCATAAATCCAAATCTGCGACACAACAGCTAATTTTAAATATGGAAGCTGATGATATTGACTGTGCTTTGGTTCAGGAACCTCATTATTACAAGAATTTTCTTCCAGGATATCCTGGCAC